TCCAACTGTATTTTTTGCTTTTAAATCTTTGCCCATTGGACTAATGCAATATAAAATGCACTGAAATGAGCCATTGCAAACCAACCCTGCTAAATATTTACAGAAGAGTCTGCTGATACCAGTCAATTGAAGGACAATTATCGTGTATTTTATAGGTATTAAATAACTAATTGTCCTGAAGAGTTTCAAACACTAAACTGGAGTCTGAAACTGCACCTGCTTTTGAGGCAGATATATTCAAGCACGTTGTACTCCTTTATGCCCTCTGCCTCTGCAGTGGCAAGTGTCATGTTTTGGCAGTATTTTAACTCTCTGGCTAGGAACAGAAGTTACACATAAACCGGTATAAGTGATCAGAAACTGGTTCAGATCTGTAACACAACCGCAGTTCAGTGCACATAAACTGCTTTCAAAATGGCTGAAAATGGTTTAAGATAAACCTGGATGGATGTAGTATCAAACTTAACTGATTTATGTTAAATCAGTTTATTGAACTTCTGTCCCAGATCCCTTCTAGATTCAAGTTCATTTACAGTCCACCAGCATCCCAGGATGCTTTGCACCTCCCCTGCAAACCCCACCCCCCCCACACACACACACAGGGTGGGTGGGCTAGCTTTGGCCCAAGCTGTCTGATTCAGCTGAGCAGGGAGGTGTGCTCTATCACCCCCAACTTCTGGCCTGGGACATCTCAGGCATGTGGCTGCATTTCCAAAATCAAAAGTGAATATCTGTTCATTTCCTTATCAGTTCAATCTAAGCAGTTTAGACTAACCTGCAAAGATTGCATTGATTCAGCCTCAGGCTTCTTGACTGTCTATACTCAGCCTGTAGGTCTAAGAGTAGAGTGAACTGGAACCATTTATCTACCTAAGGTGAAATTAGTAAACCACAAATGAAAAACTATATTTGATGCTCTTATTCTAGCATTTGGTTATTGACTTGACCATGAAGTCAGACAGTTCAATTTGGCATGGCTGTCATCACAAAAGCTTATGCTTCTCTGAATCAGTCTCCAAGGTGCCACCCTGCCCTGCCTTCTCTGTTTATATGACACAGAACTAAATCCAGGAGTACTGTGGGTTCTAATCTAAGTGCATTGGAAAAGTTTGAGTTGAATCTTATCTGTATCCACCATTTGTTGTGGTTACAGTAACTGTATTCAAACACTCACTTTCAAGGTACATAAATCCACGTTTTTGATAGAGTGAATACCACAAGTAAAAGACTGAATATTATCCAGAAAAGGGCAAATGCCAACTTCTTACATTATTTCTTACTTCAGTGAAAAGAGGAAACAGAGATCTCAAAGTTATAATCCTAGGATTTTCTCAAGGTGATTATAGTTTGTTAAAACATTATCACCTCAAGCCAGGTTGAAAAGCCAAACCATCACTGTCTAATTTCAGTTTGGTTCTATAATAGAATCTGATTCTGTTCTCATTGGGCGCATCTACATGAGAAGGTTACTGTGGAGTTGCCTAATTAGGTCTTAAGTAAAGTCTCAGTGGGTACATCTACACATGCACTTTAATGTGTATTAGCCTATTTTAGTACACATTAAAGTGTCACAGAAAACCTGTGCTTTTTAGCTAATGCACATTAAAATAAGCTAATGTGCATTCTTCTAGTACCTCACAATGGAGGTATTAGATTCAGTGTGCATTACCTAAAGTACATTAAAGAACATGTAAACGCACCCAGTGCCTGCATGTGCAACCCTATTAGGCTGCAGTAAATTAATTAATTCCACTGTAGGTTAGTACTTGTAAACACAAGTACCATCCTTCAGTGGCATTATTTAGTATGTTGTAGCACATGTATAGATGCTGACAGGGCTGGCTAGGGCATGCAAGTACTTCAGTACAGGGGCTGCCTGCTAACTAGCCCCACATTGGAGCACCCTCATGTCTCAGCCAGCCCCTCCGCAGCATGCTGAGACAAGTTAGAGCAGCCCCAGGCTGCCGGGTTGGGCCCCTGGAACCCGGTGACCTGGGGCTGCTCCAGCCCAGCTCAACATGCTGCAGTCCTGGACACACATGCAAACACAGTCCTTGGAAGCTAACTGCACCAGAGTTTACTGCAATGCACTAATTGCAGGTGTAGGTGCACCCATTAAAAGCCAATGGGAAACTGTAAGAGAATCAAGATCAGGCATTTAGTTCAGTTTCAGTTGTTTGGCTTTATTGTGATATATCAGTGTTACAGCTGTCTTTAAATGCTTGACTGGTAACACCTCTAAGTGCTGAGTCCCATTCCACATACTAAGTTCTTAAGTAGTACTTAAGCAGGTTTCAGCCATCTAAGTCTTTAAGCATGAACGACGCATGTCCCCAGAGGCTGGGGGAGCAAGGCGACCGCCCATAGACGACAGTGATGGTGGCATGGCAGCAGCAAGCGGGGAGCTACCACAGGTACCCATAGCGATGTCAATGGCAGGGGGGGAGAGGGAGTGGCAAGCACCGACCAGCGGTTGGCGACTACCCACACAGGTGCTGACAGCAGCACCAGCAGTGCACAGTGGCAATTGGCGACCGCCTACAGACTCCACTGGCAGTGTTGGTGTCAAGTGGGCGGTGATAAGCATCAGTAACACTTATCTCAGGGGGTGCACATGCACTTGCATGCACCCCCTACGTGTCGCCAGTATCATTCTCTCTCTCCAGTTCCTGCAATATTGTTAATGTGGACATTTCTACACAACATGCTACTGCACAGTGGTTACTGCACATTTATTTAGTACTTGTATAAGCAAGTACTAAATAAATGCACAGTAAAAGGAGTTACTACTCAGTAGCACCAGCGAACACCATTTTAGTGACACTATTGTGCAGTAGCATCTCACGTTTTTTGCTGCAAGATGTTACTGAGCAGTAGCATTTGGCTACTGCACAGTCAGAGTCCTGTGTAGACACACCTTGTGTCTACTTTTGTAATGTGATTTCATCTTAGCCTTAAGCATCTGAGGGGCACAGCAAATACACACCTTCCACACAAGAGACTAATAGTTAGGAGACTTTCGCAGGAAGTGAGAGACCTGGGTTCTGGTTTCTTTTCTGTCTGAGGAAGTTTAAACTCACATCTCTTGTTCCCCACAAAGTGTCGTAATGACCTGACTATGGGCTAGGTAATGCTGAAGGTATCCTTCATTCCTCCTGTTGAATTTGGGCTACTGAAAGGAATATAAGAGTCATGAGGCCAGAAGAACAGCATGCAAGAAGGAGCCAGACTTAGTAACCTGGTTCTGTTCCTAATACAATTGATACATTTTGCATTAAATAGTCATTGGATAAAATGCATCTAGGATCTAAGGAGTTAGATGCTTACAGCACTTCCTGGGAAGTAGATGGGCATTCAAACCCATTCAGACCTAGAGCCTGAGTATCCTACTCCCCAGTCAAGCATTTTAACCAAGGCAAAAAGCAGGTGGAGTCTTCCTCTTCCTTCTCCCACCTGTTACTATTGGGAAATAGGCAGGTGGATCTTCCAGTACAAGCACATAATATGCAATCCTGAGTCAGAGGCTTGAGGGGTGGGAGTTCACCTCTTCCTTTGCCTAGCACTTCCTATTGGCTATAAGTGATACTGAGTGATCCCCTGCTCCTTTCTTACATGGCCTGGAGCCACAAATCATTGCCCATTGTGAGAATGGGAAATTTGTGGAGCTCCTTGGGGTAAAACATAACTGCCCTCCTGAAGTGAGATGCATTTGTTTTGAACAAGCAGCCACATATCATCAGGAATAAGATCTGGGCCCAAATGTCTGTATAGGCATCTACTGGTGATGGGTCTCAGCCATCAAGTTCAGATTCAAATATAGATCTGACCTACCAAAAGATCTGCAGGTTTTAGATCTGGGGTGTATTTGCTTACTCTAAAAATATTCACCAGTCAAAAAGTTTGATTCCCATCCCTTCTACTTCCAAATGTTCAAATTAGTTTTATGGGATTACAGTTTATCTGGATCCATCTTTAGTAAGCATCTTCCCCTAGAGAAGAGTTAATGTATGTACAAAGATGTACGTAAACTTAAAAATATTTATTTTTCAATAAAATCATATACCGGTAAATATTTTCCCTCAACATGTAGTCATTCTAGTTTTCCAGTGGTCTTGCTCAATCTTGTGTTTAACATCACCTTCATGGGATGATTTTGGTAGGTTAGTAACATCTGGTAGATTATTGAAAAGAGCTGGTTTTTAAGTTGAAATGTATCAGCATAATCTGTTTTATCTTCCATTCACAATGATGCAATTCAGCAGGCTCCTCTAAAAAGTTAATTAAACAGATGTTTGTTGTGTTTCATGGAAAGCAAATTTCTGATTATTTTCTGGACTTCAAACCCACTTTTCACTTTGCATAGTAGCAAGTGTAGCTCACTTTGAAATAGTTTTCTTAGCTGAGAGCACAAATTATCTCTCTCTGTCCTAATACAATCTACACTCCATATACAGTGGTCAATAAGAAGAGGTATCACCTCTCCTTCTCTTAATATTCACTCAGGCCTCAATCCTGCAAGATATTGAGAACTCTGGCCCCCATTCCAGCAAAATATTAAAGCACTTCTTAACTGTAAGCACTATTGGAATCATTGAATTTGTAGGACCATCCATCTGCTTTAAGTTGAGCCTGTATTTTATTGCTTTGCTGCACTGTGGTCAGAGAATATAGAATCTGGCAAGCTTAACCCCTCTGGCTATGATTTTCAATTCTTTGTACACTCAATATTCCCATTGACTGTAATATCCACTATAGTTAGTAGTGTGCATGGAAAATAGAACCAAGGACCTAATCTCTTAAGGAAGAGAGATGGGATAGAACATTTCCGTGCAAAAGAAAATTATTCCCTTTTGCTATGGAATTAGTACAAAAGAAACAAGAACAAGTCCTTTTTTCTTCCTGTTTTACACTGAGTGTAAAAAGATCATTACATTTTCTTTAAAGTCCCATAACTAAATACACTGCTTTTAGTAAAAAGTCAAACACATATGTCAACTTACCCAAAATGATTGGCCAGACTCATAGAAATGCAAAAAAGGATGAAGTTTTTGATCATGATAAAACTAGAGAACATTCCATTGTCCATTCCAAATGTGATTAATAAAAAAGCAGTCAATTGGATAGTCTTTCTTTCCACACTTTGCTTCTTAAGCTGTAACAGACAAAAGATAAATAATAGCCAGGTGACCCTACAACAAAGACGACAATAGAGTGTGTGTGTGTATAGTCATCTGTAGCTAGGAGTTTATCTCTACTGCTCTAAATTGTCTGCTGCTGTAACTGTGCAAATGAATTTCTTCAAGGACATGTTTTATATTGTGTTAGCAGGGAAAGACAAAGCAAAAGAAATTAGATTTCAATGACTCCGGGTTTTTTGTTTGCCGTGTGTATGTGTGCACGCATGCACTTTATTTATAAATAAGCAAAAGAAATTAGACGTCAATGACTCTAGGCTTCTTTTACGTACGTGTGTGTGTGTGTGTGTGTGTGTGTACACTTAACTTCCATATAAGCAAAATAAATTAGATTTCAATGACTCCAGGTTCTTTTTAACATATATGTGTGGGAGTGTGTATATGTGTGGGTGTATATGCTTCATTTATTTATAAGCAAAAGAAATTAGATGTCAATGACTGGGTTTTTTTTACGTGTGTGTGTGAATACAATTCATTTATACATAAGCACAAGAAATTAGATTACAATGACCCCCAGGTTTCTTTACATATGCACGCATGTGTGTGTGTATGCATGGGCAGGGGTGTATACATCCCCACCCACGCGCACGCACACACTCCCCCACCCACACAAATATACCTGCACACATATAAAAAAAACCCTGTAGTCATTGAAATCTGATTTCTTTTCCTTCTATATAAATGAAGTATAGAATTTCAAAAACATTTCCCACACACTGAGTCTTACCTATTGTTAATAGTTACTGCCAACCAAACATTCAAGTGTTGCCTGTGGGGTGTTCTGATTGGTCCTTACATATCCCCCCCCTCGCTCCCCAAATTAATAACAAACCTTTCCCCTCCCCCTTCCTCTTTCATTAAAACATTAAAAATCGCCTGCTAATTCAGGAATTCAGGCTGCTACTGCAGGGCATATTAAAGAGGGGGAAAAAGTAACCTTTCTTTTCACTGCCCATAAACTGTCCAACTAGGGCAAAGAATGACAAGGGTATAACAATTAATGTACAATTTCTTACTCATAACTATATGGAGTTACATAATGTATTAAATAGTATGCATGGCCAATATTTTTAAATCAAAGTTATTTTTATAACCATACATTTTTATTGTTTGAAGTCTTACTTTGAATCATCCCTAGGTTATTAATTTAGCACTTAGCACCTACTTTCAGGAACCACGCGCATATTAATGCGCGTGAATCTAAAAGCGATTCCTCCCTTTTGTTGTCAAATGAGAGGAGGACAGAATGTGTCAGGGATGCTCCTGCCTTGAGCAGGGGGCTGGACAGGGTGACATGGTGAGATCCCTTCCAGCCCTACTTTCCAATGATCCTCTGACTGCTTGGGGGGGAACTGCTTGTCACCTCTTGGCTGTCTGCCTGAGTGACTGAATAACCAAATGGTCCCAGTGTGTGGCAGAAATGTTTCTCTCTGCGCCTTCAGGAAGGATCATAGAAAATCATAGACTGTGAGGGTTGCAAGGGAGCTCAGGAAGGCATGTAGGCCAACCCCCTGCTCAAAGCAGGACCATGCCCAAGTAGATTGTCCCAGCCAAAGCTTTGTCCACTGGAGGCTTAAAAACCTCCAAGGACGGGCTGTGTCAAAGCACCCCTTTGCACCTGAAGCCGGGAAAGCAAATCATAGAAAATGAGGGGTGGAAGGGAGCTCAGGAGGGCATCGTGTCCAACCCCCTGCTCAAAGCAGGACTGTCCCCAACTAAATTGGCCCGGCCAAAGCTTTGTCTACCGGAGGCGTAAAAACCTCCACAGAGGGGCTGTGTCAAAGCACCCCTTTGCACCTGAAGCGAGGAAAGCGAATCACAGAAAATGAGGGGTTCCTCAGGAAGCCATCAAGTCCAACCCCCTGTTCGAAGCAGCACCATCCCCAAGTACATCATCCCGGCCAATGCTTTGTCTAACCCGGCCTTGAAACCCCCAAGGATGGCTCTGGCCTTGAGCCATTCAACAACTCCCCCCCAACCCCAACCCCGTTTGACCCTGGTGGGGCATGCCAAGGAAACCCCCCTGCCCAGCTGCTGTGAGGGCTGGGGCCCCCTGGGGCTGCGCTGGGAAGGCAGGGCCAGGAGGAGCCGAGGCAGGGCACGGGGTCCGCGCCCCGGAGGGCAGGAGGGACCCGGCCAGCTCGGTGCCCCGGGGCGGCGG